CAGGGAGGCAGTGAAGGACAGGAAGGCCTGGCGTGATATGATTCATGGGGTCATGAAGAGTCGGACACGACTTAACGACTGAACAACAACAACAATCTGGAGGCTACTTATGTTGGAGAAGGCTTACGTAGATGGAGGTTGAATATAAATACAATAAAATGTCCTGCTGGACTACTTAACTGAAAAATAGATAAAGTTACTAGCACCAACTGTTAAAATCTTATGAAAAAAATAAAATGTCTTTGATATGAGAATTTCAAATAAACTTACTCCCCCTCCCCACCAAATTAAATATATTCATAAATAGAGATGCTGTGATTAGGCTTGCAGTGGAGATAAAAATACTGTCTTTCAAATTTACTCTGAGTGAGCTTGTAAAATGTATACAAGTAGTCCTCGCTTAACGACCACAATTGGGACCAGAATTTAGGTTACTAAGCAATGTGCTCGTTAAGTGAATCATCCTGTGACTGGACCCGATTTCACAATCTTTTTTGCGGTGGTCGTTAAGTGAACTACTGCAGTTGTTAAGTGAATCACTGGTTCCACATTGATTTTGCTTGCTGGAAGCCAGCTGGGAAGGTTGCGAATGGCAATTGTGACCCCGGGATGCTGCAACCATTGTAAGTGCAAGCTGGTTGCCAAGTGCCCAGATTGTGATCATGTGGGGATGCTGTGACAGTTGTAACTTCAGGCACTGGTTGTAATTCAATTTTTAGCGCTGTTGTAACTTCAAATGGTTATTAAATGAGGACTACCTCTATATTTGCTGATTGAATTAAACCAGCTCAATCTAGATCATTCCAAAAATCAGATTTCCTTTTCCTCTCTCATGAAGAGTGGTGTATTTGTATTTTATTTTATTTTTCTCTCTTTTTTTCTTTTTGTCAGAGGATGGGCTTTTTTGGTTTAGTAATTATTATTGAAGTCTGTCCTTGCAGAACTTGCTTATTGATACATTTTGAGGAATGATACAGAATTATCTTAATGTTCTTGGAGA